TATATATATATATATATATATATATTGTCCCGCTTAATTTATTTAATTGAACTGAGCTATTTTATCGGCTAAGTCATAATTGAGAGAACCGACCCGAACGCCGCAAGGCGTAGAGATTTTGGCTCCATGATCCTCAATTCAAATTCAAAAGTGTTGTGCCATATTAGAAAGTTTTCCCATCAGCCCTCATTGATTTCCCTTTTGACCGTATTGTGGAGGAATTAGTGCAATTGATGACATTTTATTATGGACATTAAATCACCTTTGATTGCCCTGCTATTTAATTAAGGAGACTCCCTCTCTCCCAAATTTGTTGATTCGGTCCCTTAGCACAATCAAGACTAAACGTCCTTCTCCTCCCAAAAACTCTGAAGACCAAAGCAAAACACCATATCTTTCGGCAGATACCCCTCCAAATCGCCTTTACAAATCACCACCACCCTCGGCTTTTTCTCTCACGGCTAGCCCTCATCGTGCGCGCCAACCATTAGCCACGAGACCGCGAGGAGCACCAGCGACGGGCAAGCTCTACCGGACGGACAGAGAGCAGCCATCGTCGAGAAGTACCAGCCCGGCGCAGCTGTCCACTCGTTTCGAACCCATAGGTAACCCGCATACTCCCGTCGGCGAGCCAAACGTAGTTGTCGGGCCCCGACGTGTTCCTGCGAGCGTGTTTCAGCCCCATCTTGGCCTCCGTTTCGTTTCATGTGTTATCCCGAAAATGGTATCAAGGCCCGAAACTCTTTTTAATTCATGTGTTAATGTGATTTATGATGATCCTTTGTTATAAATTCCATGGTAGAGCTTATATATATCTATGTGATTTATGTGGTCTTGACTCGTGCGTGCCGAGTATGAATCGAACATAATGATTGTGATGCTTTTCTTGGTTATGTGTAATAAGTGTTGCTCATAAGGTGCATAAGATGTTGAGATTTAGATGTTGAAGGTTCGTTGTCAAAAGCCATGATTATTCGCGTATTTGTTGTTTCTGTTATACTGCGTTAATGGCCCTCGTAAACCTGTTATCTGAAGTCGAGGCCTTCATATGAAATATAGGTTATTCTGTTGTCTTTAAGTGAGCTCTAGAATTAGGTAATTCCGATTTGAAACGAATAAGTTCTGATTTTTATAAAATTGTCGCGCAAGCAGTTTTTTTAGAAAACCCGGCAGCAAATTATGTTAGATATTTAACCCAGTTGTTGTGTCTTAATATGCTCAAACTGAAAAGTGTTCTTCATGTGAATTGTATTATTTTGAGTTAGGGTTCGGTGAGATTTAGAATTTCAAAATTTAAAGTTGATTTGAATTTGTTATGAATTTTTTAAATTGTACATGCATGCAGTTTTTGTAATTTCAGGCAGATTTGAAGATCATAATGTTGGGCTATTTTTGACAATTTTAATGTGGCTAAGTGAAAATATGATTATCATGAAACCTGTAGCACACATTATAAGCTTTCATTTGGAGTTGAAATCATGCAATTTAAAATTTTGGTTGATTTTATATGATTTTCAAAGTTGGGGTTACGCCCAGAAATTTCAAAACAATGGCTGTGTACATGCTCAGAATGTTTGCTCTAAAATAATGCCCTTAATCGTGGTTATTTGTAAAATTTCTCTTCATGAAACTTGTATATTTCCTTGTTTATTTTCTATAGGATTTGAGTTTGCATGAGTTGGAGTTCTATAACTTGAGATATTGTTGTTTAAGTGAAGTGCTGTAAATTGATCAATAGTTATTTTGGCAGATTTATTGACCTAAATGTTTTATGCTTAAACTCGGCTGTAAATCTATTTTTGACTTAAGTGTTCAACATAAAAATTTTGGATATATGTGTTAGCTACTCATTGGTTTTAGAATCACCTGAATATCATGCTTATAACTTATGTTATCTTGGAAATACTTAGACCATGCGAGTTGTTCATTTTCATGTCTGGACTGCAACTATGTTTTTTTTGTCGTTGTTGAACTATGTGGTTAAGTGACGTCACATGAGTGTACTTAAGTGTTCGTGTGTTGAATAGTCTTTCATAGGACTATTTTGTGCAATGTAGGTGTGTGACGAGTTGTGTTCTCGGCCTACCTCTTTCCACCGATTTTCTGTGATTTCTTCTACGGATATCAGGTGGGTTTTGAAAAATTGTCTATGCTGTAAATGTTATTACTGTTATAATTGTTTACTTGTGGTATGATAAAAGTATTCATGTCGAACATGTAGCCTTCGATGTGAGCTGTATTGGCCGTCGAACGGTTATCCTCGTAGCTATAGAACGTACCCGATGGCTAGTATCCTTTATTATTGTTGGCAGTCAGGGCGTGAGCCTTGGCTGGTGATCCCCGTGTAAGACCAAGGGCCATTGGGGTGTATTTACTCCTACTGGCCGAGCACTCTATGTGAGGCCAAGAACCATTCGATATATAGCCGGCAGTAGTCTATTGATATAGGTGTGCACATGAGAGTGATTATTGATTATTGATGGGAGATTGGGATAGATAATTTTTTCGTATACATGCTGAGACCATACCTTATTGATTTATGATTACTGTTTCAATATTGTAAATAGCGTTTACTGCATAGTGGTGAGCACTATTGTTTCCTCTTGTGCTCATCCCCACCTGCTCTTCTTGGATGCAGGTTAGTTTGCGTGTGCACGGCGAAGGGATGCGAGTGGTGGTCATAGTAATTATTATTGCTTCCGCTTGATGAACTTATTACTGTTATTAATGTATTTGATTAATGAATATTGGATTATTGTTAAG